AATTAATGCGAGTTTCTCATAATTAAAACTAAAAGCATGAACCAAACTAACATGCCAATCACGATTATTATGAAATGAAACACACTTTTACACGCATATTTTAAAGAATATCGTCGACGCCCAGTAAAACCACTCTGGGCTTATAATCGTGAATGCCCTCAACTCGATAAATACCAAGTAAAAACATAGGGATGGGCTTCATACTCGGGAGGGGCTTACGATCGGGGAAGTACGGTACTTTAACGCAATTGGGCTTTCACTCTCAGAATACTGTGGTTCAAACGCATAAGGCTCTAACCCAAGTTTTAAAAAGCACATTGTGCATATAAAAGTTGAGTTTATACTAATAGTACACAATGCTTGGCAGCATGAACGGCTATGTACAATGGCGTATACGAATGCGATCAGATACTAAAACGTCATAGCTTTGAAAAGTACCCGGATGTTAAATATGTTCGTTCGTTAATTATTCCCCTCCATGAATGGCCTCCATGGCAAGCACTTCAAATGCCTATCCAAGCTACAGTTATAATTAAAACAAAATTAAACCACTGCAATATTATTTCGAATACAGTTTAGAATATACACAACTATAAATTAAGGCCGCATTTAGGTTCGCTTTAATAGTATGTTGTGGTAACAGACTGTATGTATGTTTGTTAGGGGGTTATCTCATATTCAAACCTTGATTAACCTGAACCGCCTGAACAAAACCCAATTTTGTGGTTTCAAAGTCTAGACAATAAACGACCGCATGAATTTGCATAAAAACAGTGGTTCACACCGATGCAATGTCGTCAGCTGACAATGTTATGTGGTTGTAGCGTTATCGCTGACTTTAGTTTTGACAAAGTGATAGAGGGACTGTGGTTTTGATATTCCTTCACGGAAAAAATGTTGTCATTATCGATTTATTACTTTCATCATATTTTTGTAACTCACAGTCTTAAAGAATTTATGATTTGACATGGGCACTAAAGACAAAATGTACTAGTTAGCTGCATGGATAAACATATTTTACTGACCATGTCAAATATATATACCGGATTCTGTCGTAAATTGGCCCTGGGCCGTTAAACGGCAGGTTGGGTTTTTAAAAAATTAAAATTGGACCAAGAAATCGCCCAGGGCAATTTTTTGGCAGTTTTTTAAGGTGTGTTTTTAATATACATGTATCTTCTGGGAAATTTTGTTTCTTTCTTGAGTATTAGGGATATTATTTTTCTGTCAAGAATATTGACATGCAAATACTCCAGTACCGGTATATTTATTGGTGTAGTTTATTTTATTTATTGGTGTAGTTTATTTTATTTATTGGTGTAGTTTAATGTTAAGACGTATGGCAGGATGGAAGATCTGGTCTAATACCGTCTGCAGTTCTCACAACAACGATGATTATATGGTGACGATGTCATACTCATTAATAACAATGCCTAAAACGCCGACCCAAAATGGATGCAATAGAAAAGTTTGTCATAGCTCTCCATCAATAAAAACCCTAAAACGAAGAGGAAAGTGCAGAAGTACTTGTCATGCGCCGGATGTTACTCCCAACAGAACGTAATCGGTAATGAAACAAAATACACTCTGTATCATTATTTGCAGGTGTCTGGATATTTGAATTGGGTTGTACGTAATAGTGCTGATGCTGAAATGCAGATGAACGCTATTGAAAGAGTAGATTATTACAGTAATATACCAACTGAACAGTATGAAGGTCAGTAGTCATGTATCAACACTGTTTGTCTTTCTACTCCACCGTAAAATGTTAAATTTTGCACTTTAGTAAAATGTTCTTTGCTTAAAAAAATCTTCTCTCTGTCTCCTCAACAAAATTTGTCTCATTTAATCAGTGTGTAGTAATTACAATGCATGGTTTATAATGCTATAGTTGTACTTTCTCACTAGGTGTATACAAACCACCCAAAGACTGGCCTAAAAATGGTGATATATCAATTGAACACATATCAGTGAGGTATGCTGAAGACCTAGATCCAGTCTTACATAATGTCTCGGTTCACTTCAAACCAGGAGAAAAGGTATGCAAATATTTAAAGTACCACTATTCTCAGAGGTGAAGCTATGTCACGGAATGTTCTACATTGCTAGGACAACCACCACTGTACCATGTATTTCCCTGCGTGAGCTGCTGTGGAACACCGGTCGAAAGACCGATGAAAACAGCTGAAGTCGAGTAAACATCACAAACTCAACTTTGAAGTAAATCTGAACAACCAAATTTATATACTGTGAAATACTTTATTTTAGCTGGAATTAATTTTTGCTGAAAATGCTTTTTGGGCATTTTGTATGGAATTTATTTTCACTGATTTTTGATGAGTTGAATGTAAAATATAGGAAAAAAAGTATATTTGCTGGATTTTGTTTTCACGGAATCCTTTCAGCGAAAATAAATTCCAAGAGAAAATAAAGTATATTTTGTTGTACAGTATGTTACATGTACACATGTAGGGGGTAATCTGGCTTTTTTTGGTGAGATGGTGTCTTGATGAAAAAACAGTGCTTATAGTATCTGAAAGGACAGTTAATGAAGTAGATTTACACAAATCTGATCCTCAAAAGTTTTAAACTAACTCAATTATTTAGTCACTGTTAATGGATAATAAAATTTGTATTTGAACGTGTTTCTATTGTCTTTGATTAATCAATAGTTTTAATCAAAATTCATAAGAACAGAATTAGGTAAGCAGTACAGGAACTAATTGTGACTTCTGTCTTGTGTAGGTTGGTATATGTGGTCGTACAGGAAGTGGAAAATCTTCACTTACGCTGGCACTATTTAGAGTCATTGACATGTTTCAAGGTAATGGAATAATCTTGTTTGATTTTCAGACACAGTTATACATGCCTATAATGCTATGTTAGTTTGTCACTTTCTGCATGTACTGTAGTCATATAATATTATAGCCAATGAAAACATGAATGTAACAAATAATCGTAATGTCTTATATAATGTTACAGGTCGTATATTGATTGACAATGTTGATATATCACATGTGCCTCTGATTACCTTGAGGAATAGAATTGCTATTATACCACAAGATCCAATCCTATTTGCTGGCACTATCAGGTAATGCTGATATCATTAAATTGTTCAACTTCGACAAAAGGAAGAAATATGAGGAAATCTAAGTTGCCAGGTTGCATATTTATTATGTACAAAAACAACAATTCAAGAAGAAACACAAAATTATAACAATTTCTTATAACAACTTGACTGTACTGCACATGTGGATTTGAGTGAAGTACAAGGGTCTTCCAGGCTGAATGTTTTATAAATATTTTATAAATTTTCATAAAAAATATTCATGCCTTCATGAAATTCACTGTTACAGTAGTAACAACATAATGTTAGCAATATTCATTGGATGAAATAATAAAAAAAAACTTGCTTTTCAAATTGCACTTATGTAATCATGGGTTCACAAGTATAATGCATGTCACTTTTCCAAAATAAACTTAATGTAATAATTAGTCCTTGTAATTTCAACTGTATACATCCTATACCTCAGAAATGCCTGGATCAATCACATTCAAACTTTACACATACATCATACATTTTGGGATTCATATTCAAATTTATTTTTGTGATTTGATTCAAGGCAGCCATATAACAACCAAAAATTCATCAAGTTCAAGCAATTCCTGAACTAGACCTTGGTCATGCATAGAAAATTGTTTGTACAAACTTAGTTCATACATTGAACACCATACTAACTTGGTGCATTTCATTTTTTTGTCTTTTATGATCAGATCCAAAATAGCCAACTGATAGCTATTTTGTTTCATATGAATACAGTTCTATGGACATACAAAGTGTCTGTGATGTTTGTCATGGGACACATGTACACATTCTCTCCTACATGTATAGGAACTTGGTTTGAATACAGACACTATATTTCATGTCATGACTTGTGTTTCATTTCTTTAGACATAATCTGGATCCAGAAGATACTAGAACAGATGATGAATTGTGGGAAGCTTTAGAGATTGCTCAGATGAAGAAAGTGGTTTCAGAGTTGGACAACACTCTGGGTTAGTCATAATATGCATAAATAATTCCAATCTCAATTATAGGACTATAACAGTCCCTGGTGTTGGCTTATAACTGGTGGTTTCCAGTCCCCAGTATACAGTACAGTTATCACGTAAGCTTTGGCCTCACTTCAGTGTCAGCTTCACTTCATTATGGCATTGTTATGGCTTCAGAGTCACATCAATGTTGCAACATTAAAAAGTTGAGGCGGTTAACGCTTTGCTTCATTGTCGCCTCATTATGGTGACAATGTGGCATCAGCATTGCTTCATCGAATAAAGAAGTAATTTACATATGTAAACAATGCTTCATTCTCATGGAAGTCAGTCAAAACAAGCATAGCCAACATGATGTTTTGTTTTTACAAATCGAAAGGTTGTCACAGCGATGACCCGATGCCACCACAAACCACCCAGTAATAGTTGGAAATGTACGCACTTTTTTTTTGAAACTTTGTATAAAGATGACTGGCAACAACCTCCATGCACCTTACGGGCTAATTTGGCGGCGTATGTTTGTATAACGAGTGCGGGCATGGGGTATGACTCAGCAAAAACAGAAAACGAAACAAAGGAAAATACTGTCAAGACGAAGAGTCTAAATCTGTATTCTTGCAAGCAAATAAAATGTATGAAAATAAGAACAAGGACAGTTCCATTTCGTGAATGTTAAGCTGTGTTGTATCGGAATGACAATTTCATCGTGTGATTCAAATTTATCCCGGCAAAACAGTCTGAAGGTTTTAATGAAACTGTCGAGATGTGAAAACTCGTTGCACGTGTGTTTGAAAATGTGGTGTTTGTCTGCTTTATAAGCACGTTGACATTTAAAATTTAAAAGGCAATTCACTACGTTCAATTACCCACCATAGACTCCGGTCAAAATGACTATTTTGAACTGTAGGCATTAATCTGAGATTCAGCCAAAGACTGAGAGAGAAATCTAGTTTTTTTTTCCCCCTGTGTCATCTTATTGTGTGCAATGTCTTACAAGAAAGAAAAAACTCTGGTGTCGCATTTGGCCAAAATTTTTGGATCCCTTTGTGTCAGCCTTTTATATTAAACTGTAATTCGTTCCTCTCATGCATGTCTTCTTCATTTTTCACCAACGTGTTAGAAATGGATAGCAAGAAGGGTAACATGCTGGAGGCTTTGTTTTTTAGCTCCGCTGTCGACTATGTCGAGCGGAGCTTATCATATGAGTGATTGTCCGTCGTCGTCCGTGTCAATGTTTTACTTTTTCGACTTCTTCTTGAAAACTACAAGCCTGAATGCTTTGATACTTGGTGTATATGTACCTTGGGTAGACCTCTCTCAGATTTACTCATTTCATGATGATATCTTCAATTCTCTAATTTTGGTGAATATTTTTGTCATTTTTGGTAAAAAGTTTTTAGTCCCCGTTCGGACAAAGTCCGAAAACGGGGACTTATGTTTTGACCTCCGTGTGTCCGTGTGTGCGTGCGTCTGTGCATGCGTCTGGACCTGTATCTTAGAAATGCCTGGACCAATCACAATCAAACTTCACACATACATCATTCATGATATCATACTTATGCACGTCAATTTGTTTCACGATCTGATTCAAGATGGCCGAATGGCGGCCATTTTTATGCTAAAAAATCATAAAAATCAAGCATTTCTCGGCTGTTTACAGATGGATTTTGTTCAAACTTGATATATACATTAGACATTATGGGACCTTGATGCAAATAATTTTGTTTTTCAGATAACATTCAAAATGGCCGACTGGCGGCCATTTTGTTTTAATAAATATTTCCAACTTGTTTTGACTGATTATGTTCAAATTTTAAATATTCATTATACATCATGTCATAGATAGACAGATATATTGGTTTAACGATCCTATTCAAAATGGCCGAATGGTTGTCATTTTTGTGCTAAAAAATCATCAAATATCAAGAATTTCTGGCATTTATGGATGGATTTCGTTCAAACTTGGTACATACATTAAAATTACGGGTTCCTGATGCACGTCATTTATTTTTCAGATCAGACTCAAAATGGCTGTCCGGTGGCCATTTTGTTTTAATGAATGGGTTTCCAAACCCATATGTCTGACTTGTTTTGACTGATTATGTTCAAATTTTTAATATTTATTATACCTCATGTCAAAGATATACGGATATATTGGTTTGACGAAGTGGCCTAATGGTGGCTATTTTTAGCTAAAAAACTTGTTTAATTTTTTAGATCGGATTCTGAATGTCTGACTAGTGGCCATTTTGTTTTAATGAATAGGCTTCTAGAGCCATATCTCTGACATGCTTTGACTGACTATGTTCAAATTTCATATATTCATTATACATATATTCATAATGGCTGATTTTGTTTTAATTAGTGTTGTTCCAGATCAATATCTCTCAATACTCATTTGAAGATCAGATACAAATGTAAATCAGTTAAATGTTAAACAATCATCATATTCCTGACATGTTTATATTCCAGCTATATTACTATAAACAAAACTTACTATATATCTTAAATTTGATAACTAACGGGGACTGTGCCATGCATGGCTTGTTTTTTCAACTTCTTGTTAAAAACCGCAAGTCCAATTGCTTTGATATCACATATATAGGTACTACATGTGGACCTCTCTCAGATTTGTTCATTTTGTAATGATATCTTTAATTCTCTAATTTTGGTGAATATTTTTGTCATTTTTAGTAAAAAGTGATATTTTCGACTTCTTGTTAAAAAACGCAAGTCCAATTTCTTTGATATTACATATATAGGTACTACATGTGGTCCTCTCTCAAATTTGTTCATTTTGTATTGATATCTGTAATTCTCTAATTTTGGTGAATATTTTTGTCATTTTTGGTGAAAAGTGACATTTTCTACTTCTTGTTAAAAACAGCAAGTCTTCATATTGTTCATTTTCTAATGATATCTTCTGTTCTTTAATTGAAATGTGCATTGCTAACAGCGGAGCTATCTCAGCGAGAGGCTGCTTGTTATCGTTTTCGGTTCGCTCAGAAACCTGCCACCTATCGGCAGCATTTTGACTGACTGGAGTCGATGGTGGGTAATTGAACGTAGTGAATTTAGGCAGAGGGTTCTCAGAACCCGCCTATTCACATAGTTCATACCTACCATGGACTCCGGGTTCCCCTTGACCACCCCACTTTTTTTGTAGCGCTGGCTTAGTCCTGGTGGTTTCCAGTCGCCAATATATGCTTATAACTGGCTGTTCCCAGTCCCCAGTATAGGCTTATAACTGG